AAATAATGAAAATTGTAAAAAAGTGTGGTTTAGAGTTTAAATAGTTATTAAAAAAAACTTATCACAATTTTAACACGGCCCTTTTCTAGTACTAACAAATAAAAAAGGAAATGAAAATGGCAAAATAAAAATATGGTAATAATTTTTCTACATTCTACCGAGATCGTGACAATTGACAGCCGACATTTTGTGTCCTCACCTTTGCAATACACTTTAATGTCATATGTCAAACTCGAGCTAGTGGAGCTAGTCAGTTTTGGTGGAAGGATGTAGAAAAATTTCAATAACATTATTTTGTGATTGACAAATTCCATAAAAATGTAATTTCAAACGAATTTACTAAAAAAAGTCACAACGTATTTCCCAATCATTACATCAGAAAAAAAGGAATTAGTAATGCGAAAAATATAGCGCGCCATTTTTTGTAATTTAACTTTTTTTGCAATAAAAAATACGTAATGATTGGAACGATGATTAAGTACGATAGTCGATCAATTGGACAAACAAAAACGAAATTAGACGATTCAGAAGTAAATTATTTTAATGACGTATACTCTATATTAATGCGAAATTTGGGTTCAAATGACAGTGACAGTAGACTTATTTTATTCATCCATTTACATTTTTTGACCTGCAAACACTATAAAAAAAACTAAAACTGTAGATATTAATTTCAATGACAATTTTAAAAGTAAACTGTCATCAGATCACAAATTACGTCGCACTAATATAGCGTTTTAAAAATAATAGCCATGAGGATAGATAGTTTGAAGATTTTATTATTACTAGGTTGTATTAAAAACTTTTATACACAGGTAAAAATTTCAGTCAACAAAGTGTACTTTTATATTTACATTTCGTTTTTACTACTTTATGACGTTAAATGATCTACCACCGTTAATTTTAGATCAAATCTTAAGATATACAAAGATTTTTTTATCTTAAAGTCATCGACAGCAACAACTTTTGTGGCGCCCAACATTTTGGTCTTCGAGGTCATGAAAAAAATGTATACCAAATTTGAATAAAAACTTTTTTACTACTTCATGATAGTTTTAGATCAAATCTTAAAATTGATATATTTTAGAAATATTTTTTTTAATCTTCAGAGTCATCGACAGCAACAACTTTTTTGGCGCCCAACATTTCGGTCTTCGAGGTCATGGAAAAAATGCATACCAAATTTGAATAAAAACTTTTTTACTACTTCATGACGTTTAATGATATACGACCGTTAATTTTAGATCAAATCTTAAGATTTACACATTTTAGAAAGATTTTTTTAATCTTCAGAGTCATCGACAGCAACAACTTTTTTGGCGCCCAACATTTCGGTCTTCGAGGTTATGGAAAAATGTATACCAAATTGAAATAAAAACTTAGTGTTAAATTTAGTATTAATAAACACAAATTAATTGATTTATATTTTTAACCGTAAATAAATATTGAATGACTGTGCAAGCGCAGTTATGCCGGATGTAACCAATTATGAGCAGAATAATCTTGGACCATGCTATGGAGGGTAGAGGTAAGGATAACTATCTCTATTTACAAAAAGTGTCCCTCAAAATGTATGAAATTAAGATGGCGTTTCTGTACCAGAGGGACACTGACAGTTGATAATTGAGATCACAGAGTTACACTAATGATGTATATAGTTATATATATTGCTCAGCCATATGTATGAAGTGTAGAGGTAAGGGTATATCATAATGACGAAAAAATTTAAGGGGTGATTCTGTGAGGAAAATTAAACCCTTCCCAGAAAAGTTACACCCTCCAAAGATAAAAAAAAGAATATGCTTGAAGGTATAGCCTAAAAACTACATCGTGAAAAGCAATAGCTTATAATCGTAAAGAACAATAGTGCTTTTCGTCGTCTGATTTATATAGGGTGAGCTATCTCTTTCCCTTCTAGTACACGAGCCCCATCGTAATTTCATACATTTTAGGGGGCACTTTTTGAACTAAACAACCATACGAGATTATCCTCCTTTCCTTTACACTCTATAGCCCATGCTAAAAGTTACATCACCCAAAGTCACGCCACGTAACATACAGCTACCTAGACAAGGCGAGACTTAACAAGTCACGAAAAGAAGCTTTAAAAATATAATTTTTAAAATATTTTTCATCACTAAACTCTGTAAATACTTATTTTCTGAGATAAAGCAAATAAAAGTGAATATATTGTAATTTGTTTAACATTTTGACCAAACTTTAGCAATAGTAGCTTATTTATATTTATTTCAAATAAAGCACATACACTTTATTGACGTCTTTAAGAAGGAAGCTCGAATAGAATGCAAAATGTAAGGTATGTTGAGTATTTCATTTAGAAAGTTTTTATTATAATAAACGTCTACACGGCATATTTATAAACTAATTATGTACACTTTGTTTATTTTAAAATATAACATCCAGACAATTTACTACGATTCCCCGAAAATTTTCTGATGCAGAAAAATCATTCTTTACACATTCAATGCTATCAAGAATCTTAATTAATAGCTGTTTTTATATTTATAATAGTGATCGATTGGGCGAAACAGTGCAACATTTAAATATTTTTCATCATGTTGAACTTTATCGCACCAAACAGATGCTATTTATTTATAAAATGATGTTCACTTATTTTTTAAATTGTATTTTACTACGTAAGTAAAAAAGTATAGTAAGACTTTTCCCTAGTTTAAACGGTGATGGCAACGTTGCATTCCATAGATAAAAAAAAATACGTTTTAAAAAATATGTGAACAACACATAACTAGGCCTTTGTTAAATTAAATTAACTGAGAATATCACTTTTAGTGTAACCTTTTTGTCGGAAACACTTCTACCTGATGGCGGCCAACTCAAAGAAAAGTGATATTAGCAATTGCATTATTGTGGTTATAAATTGTCGAATTTTAATGGTCAGTTCTAATACTGATTTTGTTTAAAAATTGTCCTAATGTGCTGAATTATGTGTCTACATAAAAATTTTCTTTGTATAAAAAATAAATAAAAAACAGTATTATACAATCGTCTTTTTGGAACGGCCATTTTTTTTACAAATATATATATTTATATATATATATAAATCACTAGATTTACATCGAGAAATCAGAAAATTTAATCAAAAACAATTCAGCTGCATGGTAGGAAATAAACAAATTTATTGCTTATTGCTTAACATACAATTTTCAAAATAAAATATGCAAAACATTTATTTATGAGTATAAATACTCAACGACAGATTGAACAATCTGTTTCCTCGATACAATCACGCTGATAAGATTGTTTACATGTACGAAAATTTAACACTACACAATGTTGTCTTTGGTTCATCCTACAATTACAAAAAAAATGAATAACGCTAAACAACATCAATTGAAGATCAATCAAAATTTAGTTTCGCTACTTTTCTAACCCACCTCTTATATCTAAAAATTGTAATACTTTCTTATCATTGTACATTTAACTCAATTGAAATGATATGGGGTATTATAACCAGCATATTTGTAGGGATAGCAACTCAATTCAAAATTGTTTCAAGTATGTGGTGGGAAGCACTCCCAAATTTGGTCTAATTGTGTCAGGCATACTGAAAAAATTATTCACAAATGTTGAGACCGTGAAGTTATATTTAAACGGAAGGATATTTTACCTGTAATTATTGATTTTAATGATGATAGTGAATCTTATTCTCAAAAAAGCTAACTTGTTATTTATTATTATTCTATTTATATTGAAAGAACTAGTTCCGAAAGCTTCTAAAATTGTATGTATATATGTTTAATGAATTAATTATTTAAAGTGTCAAAAAATGGAGTTCAAATTAAACATTAGTTTTTTTATAAAATGTTTCTTGAGATCCCCGAGTTTTGTATCAACGTGGCAACGTCTACTTTCATGAATTTATGACGTGCATTGGAAATTTAATTGCATTTACTTTATGATTCCATTACAGATCCCTGACATCTTTTATACATTTTATTAAAGCGTTTGTGTCAATCATGACTCTTTCACCCGTTATTAATTTACTATAAATAAGATAGTCATGTAAACATTATCAACTATGTTTCTGGAATATTCAATAGATAGAAAAAAGGTAGGTTAGAAAATTGGAACTAAATAAAAAAAAAATAATATAAAAAAATATTTTCACACGAGAATTGATAACAAAATTCAATTATTTTACTATTTTATCATAGCGACGCTATGATCTTGTATTATGTACAATGTGGATAGTTTCCTATTATACAGACAAAAAAGAAAATTAAATAAATATTTCACTTAACAAAAGACACTTAATAATAAAAAACGAAAAATCTGAATTATGTATTTAAAAAAACTTCATGCCGATGAATAATAGGAAGTTGGTAGGAAGTTTTACAACTTTTTTTCATCCAGTTCAGTTCGTCCACCTGTATTTAACGAGTTAAGTGTTACTAAATTATAATGTTACAGTATCATAGTATAAATAAGGGCTTCCACCTATGCAGTAATTTGCCACATTTTTTTTTAATTTTATCAATTTATTCACACGAAGCGATGATTGTTCATGAATTTATTGTGAATTTTTTTATGATTTTTTACGTTTTTATAGGATTTTATATGATTTTTCATGTTTTTTTTTTTATTTATATGATTTATCATGTTTTTTTTATATTTTTAATAATTTTTGAATGATTTTGTATTAATTTTTTATGAATTTATTAAGAATTGTTTATAATTTTGTTTTTATATGATTTTATTTAATTTTCATTATATTTAATGATTTTTTTATAACTTTTTATGATTTTGAATGATTTTTTTATGAATTTAATGTTTTTGTGAATTTTATTCGTTCGAATCGAGTAACTAAAATAAAGAAAAAATAATATGTATAAAGAAAAACATTTATTTCATTATGTACAACAAACTCTAACAAAAATACGACATCCAAAATTTTATTCATATTTTGACAGTCTATCAAATTACTAATGACTAATACTATTTTTGCTGAGAAAGATAGACAAAATTAATATATAGATGATTTTCCAATTTTTCTTATCGGATCAATCAAAAGTCTCACGTTTTAAAAATATTAATTATAAAGAAATATAGTAACAAAAAAGTATCTCAGATTATACTCAATTTCGCAAATAGATATTTGTTTGTGCAAGGCAGTAAAAAAACCTTAATTGTTTACGAATTCACAGTTCAACTGTATTGTCTTCAATCACGTGATCACTAGATGAATTATAACAATAATTGTATAAGTTTTGAAAACTATAAAGTGACAGTGACAACCATCTAGAACATGCCAGATGCCTAAAGGCAGTCATATTTTCAAAAATAATGCTGCCAAAAGGCACAATAGACGTTACTGCAGTTATAACAAAATCGATAATTAAAATATAGCGATCTTTTTCAAAAATAATGCAGTATTCGGCAAAACAATACAAAATGTTGGTAACGAAAAATTTGAGATACCTGTTTTAACCTAACTGACAATTTTAAATATCTAGGAAGATGCCAGATGTTAACAAGCACAACATACATTATTTCAGCAAAGTGACTTGAAACATTAAAAAACAAATCTCGTATTCGGTAAAACAATACAAAATATTAGAAACTAAAAATTTAAGATACCTCCATTTTAGCTTATTGCCACAAAGAATTAATCAGAAGTACCTTGAGCACCAATCGAAATAGCTTTTTTCCTTCTGACAACCAACAGCTGCTTTCCCATTAGCACAATCAAACGCATGAACATTTTATTGTGTTATAAAAAATGTATACTCTCGATATTATCTAATAAACTGACAACTTTAAATATCTAGAATATGTCAGATGCCAAAAGGCAGTCATAGCAAAATTAATAATTAAAATTTAGCGACTTTTTTCAAATATAATGCTGTATTCGGAAAAACAATACAAAATGATGGTAACAAAAAATTTAAGATACCTGTTTTAGCTTTACTCATAATTTTAAATATCTAGGAAGATGTCAGATGTTAACAGAAACAACAGACATTATTTCAGTTATAGCAAAATCAATTGAAACATTAAAAAATCCCGTATTCGGTAAAACAATACAAAATATTAGAAACTAAAAATTTAAGATACTTCCATCTTAGTTTTATGCTACAAAGAAGTGCTTTGAGCACCAATCTAAATAGCTTTTTCTTCTTCTGATAACCAACAGCTGCTTTCCCACTAACACAATCAATCGCATAATTATCTTATTGTTATAAAAAATGTATCCTCTCGAAATTATCTAAATAAACTGATAACTTTAAATATATAGAAGACCAAAAGGCACAATAGACGTTACTGCAGTCATAACAAAATCGATAAATAAAATATAGCGACCTTTTACAGAAATAATGCCGTATTCGGCAAAACAATGCAAAATGTTGAGACACTGGTTATCAATGTACAAACACAAATTGATGTCCATTTGCGAAACAACGAGATCGTGATTGCATTCAACTATTTTTAAAAACGATATGTCTATCTTTCTTCAAAAAGTAAAAAAAAATATAAACCAAACTGAGTTTATATTAAAAACTTCGATTATTACATTCTTTGCGGATGCGTGATTGATTGAAATCGTTACTCTCTCCAAAAGGAGCGTATTCTATCTCCTCTACTTGCGCGACAATACTGTCGACGACGGCAGTATTTTGGAGTTGTTCACCGATAGTACTACCGATCGTCGTATCGTTTCTAGGATATTTTGATACGTGGCTGAAACGACAAACGTCTCAATAGTGAAACATCGCAGAGATGGCACAGATTTTCGTTAAAGCGGAAACTCAAAGATGTTACAACAAAATCACTGTTACTATTTTTCTTTTCAGAGGCGATCTTACGTAAAAAAATACGAAATAAAATTCATATAAACTTGAATCAATAAAATCAAAAATAAAATAAATTAATATTAATGGCAATGTGTAATAAGCTGATCGACAGCTTGGCTGGGATCGATGGGCTGTGAAGCAAATTACGTTTTAAATTGGTCTCATTATTTTAATATTTTTACATTCAAATAAGGTACCAAAAAATTTAAGTATCAGCAATTTATCTCCTAGACAAATAATTAAATAATTTTAAGTATGATACATTATAGTGTTAAGTAACAATTATATATTTTAAACATTTTTTTTGTATAATATTTATAATACCAGAAATTCTTTTTTCAGCATGGAGGATTTTCCAACCTATATCTATACAATGTAAATCGCCTCTGAAAATAAATGAATATACTTGGAAAGCAACCATCAAATTGAAATTACATTGATTAAAAAACAATATCAAACCTACCACAACTGATTCAATATTAAAATTCAATAGAAGCTCGTACACCAACCATTAACGATATTTCCGAATAATAATAAATAATATTCAACAAATCAAAATTGATTGATTTGAGTAACACTCAGAGATTCCCTTGATATCCGTGTCATCTCCCTTAAACTCACCTACAATTACCATAGCCTGTGCAAATGGAGGTTTCTGGATAACACCGATCTCACATCGGCCGTAAACCTTAGCGCGTCCAATACTGGAAGAAGATTGAGCAAAGCTATATCCGTCGGATCAGAGAACCAAGATTTTATGGGAATCGCGTTATCTGAAATATGAAGTAATCTGTAAGAGTTGAAATTTTAATAATGTATAGTAATTCAGTAGTGTGAAAAATCCAATATTTGAGATAAATAGGCACCATTACATTCCTTATTTTTAAATTATTTTTCAATAACTTCATTATGGAACAAACTTATATTTTTTAAATGAACTTTGTATATTTTATATTTAAATTCCTCTCACTTTTTCATTATAAAAATACCAAACAGTATGTGAATACACAACTGTCAATATTGGGTTCTTTCTTAGGGTTTTTCAAAGTCAACTTAAAAATATAATAAAGTGATGTGAAAACAGGATAATTTCAATTTTTTACATAATACCTGAAGAATAGATGTGTATCGGTGAATAATAATAACAATTAAAATCGAAACGCCAATTTTCTCAATTTTAACTAACATTTGCTAGAATATTCTCTGTTACCTACCTGGATATGCCCTGTATGCACCCGGACTATTGTCTAATATAAAAACACTAGAAAGATCATTGCAGATGGCACTTAAATCCTTGGTATACGATCCCAATTCGGGCGTGCAATGCTGCCGGTAAAATCTCCTTTGCAGAATACCACGGCCAGCGTCTAGCTTGTCAGCCACGGCGGCTCCGTATATTTCCATACTGGCGGTAAATACCACCAATTCGTACCACTGGGAAACCTGTCGAAAACATGTCGCTATTATTGAAGACCCAAACAACAACATTTTTTACAATTAATCTTAGATAAACAAATACAGATAAGTTTATTCAAAGCCAATATCTACTCTTCCTTCTATTACATTATCTCTTCTACTTTCTAGATGTTATTAAGCAAACATTTCAATACAGGCACTAGTTATCTAGGTATTTTTATTTTGTTAACTTGAGCTACAAATTTACTTACTATGTCTAAGAAAAAGTCAACATGGGGTCTTTTATGCACGAAAAACCTAACGGGATGTCTATCTATAACAACTTTCAGTACAAAATCGGGAGGAGTTCCTGGCCTCACGGTTTGTCTCACTACGCCGTCGTGATGCGAATGTATCAATGTTTCATCTAAATCGAGAACAAGAACTTTTCTTTTCACAATACCTGAAATTCAATATAATTACCATCAGGTGTATATGTTTCTGGTGTAGATAATATAAGAACTCAGAATCAAAAATTAAGTTACAACTGAATCTGTCTCTTTATAAATACCAAAACTGTTTCAATTATTAACACTTCTTGTATCAACAATTGACAAACAGTCAATGACTGAACCTAAAAAGCTCTTTAGTCTTATATTTAAAAAGTTTATTAAACATTTTTTTTCTACAGTATAAGACTGTGTATCAGTATTTGCTTGTATAAATATAATTTGTCAATAACTGAAACATACTGATTTCATGTTCCAATTATTATCAACAATACAATAAAAATTACACTATAAGATTCAAAAGTATACAAACCAGTAAAAACATATCAGTGTTGTTTAATACATATCCAGGAATAGTATAAATAAAATCAATATGAAGTGATGAAAATAATAGAGAGGTTCCAGCCATTGACACTTTCATAAAAATGACATTAAAAGATTTACAAGTATAAAAACCAGTAAAAACACATTAGTTTTGTTCAATATACAACCAGGATTAATATAAATTCAGCATGAAAAGATGAAAAAGATATTCAAATTGGTCTTACTGACCAAATTACCATAGTTGTTTTAAATAAGTAGAATTGGTAAATGCTGTTGACAGATCAGGCACCAATACATTAGTTTCCTTTAACAAAAAAATGTTAAAAAAAAAAACTTGTTTAAAAAGTGATAAAAACCAAGGAAAGACATTATTTCCTATTAAAACAATTCTGTACCTCCGAGGTAAACAGCAATATGTCAACATAGTGCAGTTTTATAAGTTATATTTTTAAACTCAGCTCATCAACACCTTTCCACGGCTATACTACACCATGTATTCAGAGGTCGCAATAAAAGTTAGCCAAAAAATATAAAACTGTGTTTAATAAACTTAGGAGGTAAACAACACATTAGTGTTTTTAACTCATATTAAATTCTCTCAAATTTTTATAAGAACAGAAATGTTGGAGGCATATGACACTGTCAGAAAATTTGCTATTAGAATGTGGAATTATGGCATAAAAACAAAAAAAATGGGTGTATAATTGAAATGAAATTATGAAGCCCAAAAAGTGTTCAAAAAACATTCAATCTGCTCTACTGGAAATCTGACTAGAAGGGCATAGTGCAGTTTACCTTTGAGAAACAGAATTATTAAATTTTAATACCATTCTTTTTTCTTTGTTTGTAAATCAATAAATGATTTCTTTAAAATATCACTTGCGTTCACATTAATTTGCACAGTACTACTGTACCTGGTTGGTATACATTTTTATTCTTCAGATTTTTTATTAAAAGAAAAATGATATGTCAGATTATGATTGAAGAACCTAGGCTGATAACTTTTGTGGGAACCAATAAACATATTTGTGGTTAAAAATAAATTATTATTATTATAAAAACAAAATTTAATAAATATTCCACTTTTTGATAAAAACATTATAACTTACAATGCAAAATTATTTAAATATTATCTATAAATTCAATATTAAAATAAAAATATTGATAAAAATCAAATTTATAATAAAATGATAAAAGATTAAAAAAATGAATTAAAGTTCACAACTGAATGGCAGGTCTATAAATATACTTACTTAGCCTATGTCTTGATAAAGGTGATAAAGGAAACAAGTCATATTTAACAGACTGATGTTGAATTATCTGCAAAAAAATAAATATTAATCTACAATTATTTAAAAATGTATACCTCATTGGAATGTTGCCAAATAGCCTTGCCAAAAGCTTCTTTCAGAATATTGGATAAAAATTGACTTATTAGATATTTTACAAAAGGTATATTTAAACGATCTTTTCAAAAATTCATATCAACAACTTTTAATTTCTAAATTATACCTATAAACAATTTATTAAATATTAAATCAAAGTTGAATAGTATAATAATAGGGTTTGTAGTAATATTGTGTAATGGCATTCTAGTTATCGGTTTTGTTTACTTACAGCTCGGGTTTGTTTCTTTAATGTGTAACACAAGCATGTCCAAACTCTCGATGCTATTAGCAGAAATGCTCGAAGTCCCATCTGTAACTGTTTCCACATTGGAAAGTGCTTAATAACACTGTCCAATTAAATTATTTGAACCTCAAATGATACGTACAATTTTCAAAATCACATGCGATACTTCTTCTCTTATCACATTTTTTACTTTTCCATTATAAATTATAATCAAACCGCCATTAAAATCGACATCGACCCAGTGGATGTTTGACAGTTTAACTGACAACAGCGTCAATTGTCAAACATCAGGTCGTGTTTTCGCGATAACTTAAAACATGACAGGTTGACTAAAATTTTCTTTAAGTATTTGCTTTAATTGAATTTGTAAAAAAGAAATATCAAGTAAAAACCTAACATAAATCTATTTAATATTATTTTGTCGCAATTAGAATTATTAGGTTCCTTGTATTTACTTTCAATTTGCTATTTGCTGACCCAAGTAACAGGTACAAGGTTAACAAAAAAGAAGAAATTTTAAAATATTTTGGGTTATGTGTTGCGTTGCCAGATTGACATATTTTTCTAAATTGCTGTATATTTATTTTTGAAAGGAAAAAGGTGATCTGTGATCTTTTGAGCATTATGCTCGAAGTATGTGACGAGGAAGTTAAATTTTGAAGAACCTACTTAAAAACTTCTAAATAAAACAAACAACTTTAGTTAAAACTTATGAACGGGTAAAATTAATATTAAAATCATATATTGTTTTGGCCTAAATTCACTCCCAAAAACAAAGTTTTCGTTACTTAAGCTAATAATGACAAAACTACTTCGACAAATATGGAAACAAACGTTTGTGTGTTCGATTTGCCAGCAGGTAACTATATTAATTTTTTTAAATGACACTGGAATGCCAATTTATTAATGTTACAGAGACGTAATATGAAGGGTAAAATGAAAAATCCATCTGGCTGGAATAATGGCAACATTGATTTTAAGTTTGTTGACACTGTTGACAGAAGGTATAGAAAAATCCTATGGAAAAATCAATTTTGAAATTAAAAGTATGTTTAGCAAAAAATATACCTCTCAAAACTTATTCAAACAAACGATTAATAATTAAAAATAAAAATCCATATAGTTTAAAAAGCGAATAAATATGACTTCTAAAGAAAATGAGTCGGAAAATTCACATTTCATAGCGGATCAATCTGAAGAAGTCTCACAAATAAGTAACATCGATGCAAACGATTTAGATGAAGAAACTATTAAGAAACTACGTGGAGATACCATAGGAGATACGTTATATAGCCAGTCCTTCATTCTAAAGACCATTTTACAATTTTCTGATTTGAAATGGGATGAAGAGGTCGAAGAACATTTGTGTTTTTTGTGGGATATGACTGTGGAAAAAGACGTGTGTTCATTTTTATTGGAAATATCCTTCCCATCACTAGCTACTAGTGCCGTTTTAAATTACAGGGATAATCAGAGATTTATAGAAATAGTTATTGGTATTTTAGGCAATATATTTTGTTCTGGATGTGAAAACGGTATGACTAGTGAAGAAATTTCATCGATTTTAAGTTGGGTAGATTCAGATGATCATTTAATATTAATACAGCTTATGCGTTTTATTAGTGCATCATTAGATACAAATAAAAACTTAATTGCATTAATAGATAAGGATTTTATTGAGAAAATTTGTTTTATTTTAAAAAATTCGATAAACAGTGATTTGTTATTGAAAACATTAGAATGTGCGGCTAAATTAACAGTTGATTTTAAAATGGATGAAAGTTTAATAGATTATAGTTTGTATGAATCAGTGTTGGTATCTTACCAAACATTAACTAGAAGCGATAGCCATTCATTTGAACCTGATACTAAAGAAAAACTTTTAACAGTTAGATATCTATTAGAGGTTATTACAAATATATGCAGTTATATTGATAGATATAAAAAAAATAGTTTATTGTTAGATATCCAAAAGGATTCCAATATTTTTACTTATGAATTGATCAAAATTCTCAAATTTTTCAGTCGAAAAGAGAACATGTTACCAGTAACTGATGAAATTATATTTTTCCTTTCAGCTATAATGTATACTTACACTAATCTTAAGCTGAGCTATATACCAGAAATATTTGTATCTGTAACTAACATTTTGTTAATCATTGTTGATTTTAAAGATGAAATTGAGGAACTTTACCAATCTGTATTAGAATTAGAGTGCTACTTAATTTCATCCACTCAATATAATAATATTAAAAAAGATTTAAGATCAGTATCCAGACAGAAAGTTAAAAAAATATTGAATTTAGTTAATGAAAATTATAAAAAATTCGAATCGATAGTAAATGTTGCTAATGTTAATGAATTTATTCAATGTTGTAAATAAATAATTATACATATTTGTGCTATTTTAATTTAAATTTTTCCACTTATTTGTGTCTCATTTCATATTCATTATAGCAAGGGCCATTTTAAGAAGATTATGTATAAAATAAAATTATAGAGAATAATATTACAAGCAACTTTTATTTGAAGAATTTTCTTCTCTAAGCATAAATAACATATATTTCATAAAGTAGGAAAACGACACCTTATTAAGTACCCCCAGATGTTCCGACTATGACCAAAATTTAATCAGTTCATTGCAGGATTGATTAAAGCTTAAATTTAAAATTTGATGCTTTTTTCTTTATCTGTTTTTGAGTAATTTTCAAAATTCGAAATTGTTTTTTTCTCAAATATCTAGAGAAATTATGTATAGAACAAGAAGTATAGAGAATAACATTACAAATAATTTTTATTTGTACATAACGTTTTTGTACATAAGGTTTTGTGGGATTAAACAAAATACACTTTTATTAAAAATAAATATACCTATATATTTTTGTTTGACTTAATGTAACAAAAATAATTTAAATTGTAGGTACTCCAGAAAAAAACCGATAATATCCAAAAGTCGTGTATTTTCTTTTGTTTCAGAATGGAAACAATAGAAAAAATATATTTTTTTATGATATCCGGCATCGAACACTTTTACAATTTTATTACAAATGGTTTTTCTAAAAGGAGATCCACAAAAATGTTTCAAAGTCATTTAAAGACTGCGTGTTTTTTCTAATGTCTATCTAAGAAACATTTTTTGAATCACTCCATAGTTTCTGTATAAAACAGTGTTGCCGCTTTATTCGAAAATACAAAAAAATACAAATTAAGGACCTTGCTGCAAGAAGGGGACAGATTCAATTTTCAATTTTGGTAAAAGTTTATTTTTTATATACTCTATTAAAAAAATGAAGGTTAATCAATTGGTTGTAAGAAACAGAGCGATAATAAATAAAAAACTTTTTGAACTTTTGTTAATTTTTTAATATTATTAGACAAGTTTTTTGTTATAATAAGTGCAAAGACTAGGTACCTTCTTTTTTCTTAACATTGGTGCAAGAACGGGTCAGCATTGTTTTTCCATTTAAAGATGTATATCACCAAAAAAGTAGTTAGAAATGTTTTATTTTTATTAAAACAACCAGAAATTTTTTTAAAGCTGTAACATCCCTAGTCCTAACCTCAGTTCCCGATCGTAAGGCGGCTGGATGTGGATATCCGACGAGGTCCAATGCCAATTGGAAAAGAAGAACGCGGGGGATAGTTAGCTTAGCATTAACTGTCAATAAAAATTTCTTGTTTTTTTACTAATTATGTTTAATTTTGATGCATTTTTATGTTCTATTTAACTGTTTGTTGTTTTCGACGATTAAATGCTTGATAGTAAACCTAGGATTTCTTCAAAGCCTCACCAGTGGCGTCTGTACGTGGACCTATGTGCTGACAAGTTTCGTATATATAGGAACAACTTTTTTGACTATCTTGTACATTCTCCCATGGGAAGTCTTTAACCTGTCTTTAAGATACTATTGCAGCCAAGTCAGGTAAAACTGCAAAATACATTTTGTGATATAGCATCGAATATGGCCCCAATTCAGCGTTTTCGGGAAAATAATAGAAATTGTTATGAAGCAGAGGCTCTATCTCTATAATTACTTTAATAAAAATCACAAATTGGTTTCCGTAATGAAGGCTCTACTATTCAAGCTGTTCTCAATGTTGTTAGTTGCATAGTCCATAGTTGAGCCTATCATGGACCTGTCATGTCGATATGATTGCTAAAAGAGGATCTAGTTTGTTGTTTTTGCTTTGGTAGTTATGGAGTTATTCGTTGGGGAAATTCATCAGAGGCAATTAAGTTATTTTGTATGCAAAAGAAAGCAATAAGAATCATACCGAATGTTTGGTACTGTGAGGCTGTGAACACTGTCAACTGCTCTTCAAAAAATTTGTTATGACATTAATTACCATCACAAAAATAGTGCAAATTTACTCGAGCAGTCTCTGATGTCCACTAATATAATACCAGACAAGCTGGAAATCTAAAAAAACCAAAATTTTAATTACATAAATTGCCAAAAAATTCACTGAATTTTAATAATATTTTACTATTGTAATCTATTTTTGGATGGTCCGTTAACCCGAGACGATTTCTGGGAAACCAAAACATCATAAACACAGCGGCCGAGAAAAGGGTCGTGCGGTCAGTGCAGAGACAACCCAACGTCAGTGGGACAAATATTTGGATGGGCAGATTATCGAACACCGTTGAGGAATGCAGTCGATTTCTTTGTTAAGACTGTGTTATTCCATTTGTTTCAATAATTATTATTTTTGTAACGTTATTTTAATATTAATAAACTTTATACGTAAAATAAACATTTAATTATTTGTGTAGTTTACACTATCAAATTTAAAAACATTTCAAATTAAATGCGGCAACACTGCTATAGAGTTTATGAAATTTATTAATTTTTTAGGGATCAAGTCTTTATGATTTATGTTTATATAAATTAATGGTTTAAAAATACAGTCCAAATTATATAATATATTGTCTATTATTTACACTTGTTGCACTAATTACATTAGTTTATTATGGTGAACATTGTCCACTTTTTTCGTAGAAGTTTTTTTTCACTTTAAATTAATATAACATAATGGCTCCGTTGGTTTTTTCTTCTAATACAGGTATTATCGTTTCTACGTCTCTTTCTGTATTTGTTATGAAGACTAAGATTATATTGATGAAAGAAGATATTGCTGCAACAACCACAAACCTGAAAATGATAAAATAAGTTATTAACAAAAAATATAAACATCTTTATTCGCTGATTTTTTTTCTTCTGTCTTATTTATTTCATACCAAAAGGAAAATCCTAGTTCAGCCATATTTTCAGACGTCCATTCATTATCTTTGTCTTCACGAGTCAAAACGCTATACTGAATGTTCAAGAAAAATTGTGCTGTCCATAAACATACTGCAACTACATCGCAAACAACTGAAAAAATAAAAAATTCAAATTATTGAGTATTATAATCACATAATGATAAATATAATCGAATAAGCACTTTCTCATAGGGTTGTTATTAGAGACATACAAATTAAATATCCAGTCAGGATTAGTTTAAATAAAAATCAAGATTTACTTGAGATTTTGGATATTATTACATTAGCAATACAATCAGAATCAGAATTAAGAAACAGTGTGTAAATATAGAAGCCAACAGACATTTTGGTGCCTGCAATTTTTTAACTGTTCCTGAGTAATTTTTGGATGCAGAATAGTTTTTAAGATAGGCAATATTTATTATTTTTTAACTTGTATATATTTTACGTTATATAACTATTACTATTGCCAGTTAAAAAAAAACAAAAGCACATAGACTTATATAATTTATTACAAAAAGTAGATTCACATACATTCATACTCACATTAGATACTTTACTTTAGTTAGGCTTTTTATTTTCAACCATATATGTAATGTTGTCATTACTAACGTCATTGAAGGTTGGGAAGTGTCACATTACACACCTCTACTTACCGCCCTCACTTCCCGCCCTCATTTCATCTATTCTAGATGAATATTTTTTATATTTAAAGAAATAACACTTTTTTTGACAAATTTTATAATACCTATTTATTGGCAAACAATAAAAAACAACAATGAACTAAAATACAATAAACTACTTATTGATATTTATTATTCGCGAATTTAATATCCGGCTTTATCTGACATTTATTTATATTGGTGACAGTTGTTTACCCCGTAATCACACAGTAACAATATATTTACTTGATTATTCTGAGAAAACCGCACGCTTGGTAATTTGTCGTTAAATGTAATATTTTAGGTATGTTCAGAACGAAACAGAGATTTATTAACTTTGATCGAAATATGATGGTTGTAAATAAAATAGTACACAAACCTCGGTAGGAAGTTTCATTCGTGTCTCGAGATCATAGCTAACCTCGACGCTTCGCGTCTCAGTGATCTAACTAATCTCACGGCAGGAATGAAACTCTTCCCACTTCGGTGTGTAATATACTATTACAGAGGTTCTAACAGTTTTGTGCTTCTTTGGCTTAAAAAATATAATTTTTAACTATTACCTGCAAGAAAATTCCACAAATAAAGGCCCGACACTCTAGTCAGACATCTAGAAGTGGTGGTGGCAGTGTTAATAGCTGAAAAAACAGCACTTATGGCAGAAAATAGTAATCCGGCACATACAAATATGGTCGTTCCTAACCAAAATCCGTAGGATAGAAACTCTGGCTCGTATTTCAAAAGATGTATCACTGAAAAAATTATAATTATTAGTAAAAGTAAATAAAAAAAATCGTGTTTAAAATATTTTGAAATATACAGGGTTCGAATAAAAGAGTATGCAACACAAAGTAGGAATTATAAATTTTATTTTAATATATTGTACCATTTTTATGAACAATAAAAATTAACGAAAATAGATATTTATCCCATTTATCAAATCAAAATAAATGTATCTAAAATACAATAATTAGATAAGGTATGCTGTATAGAAGAACTTAGGTATATTTATTATGAAATATAAGTATCTAACAACTAATGTACTTTCACTTTTTAATAAAGAAGAAAAATTAACGTGAAAATTACTTCATGCTTCTAAAGATAAAATAATTCGTCGTCGTAATGTCATTATTATTTTCGTCACAGATACTATTTTTACTTTCTTACATGGACGCTTAATAATGTTTCGTTTGTTTTGGTTTATTCAATATTATTTTACATATGCTGCAATGAATGATTTGTCACTATAAACCACATAAAATTATTATAATTATTATAATACCCAGTACCCAGTAAACCGCTCGACCTGACACCGGCATGTACGGGAAGCCGAGTACTCTGATTGACGTGTCGGGGTTTTTTCTGAGCCGAGAGGACCGTACCATTTGACGTAATTTAGAAGTAGAAACCATATATGGTCCATATTTGGCTTTCCAGACATGGGAAGCATCCTTACGGGCCGAACACGGTAAATAATTGGCTAGCTGGGCAGGGAGGCACCCTTACGGGCCGAATTATATATAGACATATGAACGTGGCTACAATTTAGTGGGCTGCCGACATTCGGCTGGACGGACATGCCCTACCTATAAGCAGAAGCTGCACACGTATATCGGACCGAGTCCGGCAACCGGCAAGCCTCCTTCGGCCCAGTTACGGTGCCGATTAACTCTGTTTATTGGGTAATTAGAGAACGATTAAGTATCATCAAGAATCGGGATATAGAACTGAAGAATTTCAGGTTACTAAAAATTAAAAACGACCTTGGCAGGATCAATACATAAGTTAAATCAAAAATGACAATAACGACTTACTCTAGCTGTTAAGGTACGAACTTTTTAATCGATTTTACTTTAGCAACAGCTGTTAACCAAATAGGTTTTTATTCGAGCCTTTATTTTTTGATTTTACTGCATCGTTAATTCAATTTTAAAGCAATTCTACATTAAATTGGTATTCAAATTGATAATTACGTTTTTTAAAAAGGGGCGAGATCCTATTTTGGTAAATTAAAACGTAGAAAACAATCGCGGATGATTTGGATTAAAAAATGAGGCATCTGGGCTTACTAAGAGGTATTATAAAATATATCATTCTCAATCCCAAGTATGGGAGTGTAATTAAAGAATTTTATATTTTCTTTGAAATAAACATGAAAAAGAAAAGAAAAAACTGCTGCCATCTAATAGCTCATAGCGAAACACGCACTCTTTAAATAGAAGAATTGTAAGGTCCAATATTCATGATTTTTTTCAATTGCCTATTTCAGAAGGCTTTTTAAGAATATTGTCGAATATTATTTATTCTTTTAAAAACATCGTGACACACTGTAGCAGATGTACATTACTGTGATGTAACAAGGCTATTTACAGACGTTATTGTATAGATATCTATACGGGTTCTGGGTACTAATATCACTTTATTACAAGTTTTTTAAAATTCGTTCTAATTTAAAAAAAAATATATTGTTTCAAATAGGATTACAATGTTGTTTGAAAGTCGACATTTTAATAAAGTGTTTATATTGATATTTATTTCAAGGCAGGAACCTAACTAATGAGGATATTAAGCTTCTAAAATGTACGGTGAAAGTGAGAATTTATTAAATTAAGTAGGTAAATCTTTTAAGCCTGATACGTGAGAATAAAATTACATATATAATTTATTGTATTATATAAATAAAAAGTAATCTATTGTGTTGTATTAAATACCTAGTAAGTACATAAATAGTTTAATTTTTTTTTGTTTTTTTTTTATAATGTAGATGTTTAATCTTGATCATGTTTACAAACATTGTGACCTAGTTAGGTACATAATCGAATTTTTATATAAATTTTTAGGTAAATATGTCAAAAATAGTGTAAGTTAACAACAAAATCTTGTAAAACTATAAAACCGGTTTTGTTTTATTAACGATCATAATTTATAGCGGGAAAAACATTTATTTATTTATGATGTCACTGTACAAAAATGTAAATATTTCTATAAAGGAAATATAAGACATATATTTAACTAATATGTATTGGTTTAGTTCGATGAGCCAATCAGATGAGTGTAATTAGTAATTATTAAACTACGAGTATATTCAAAGAAAATATTGTTCACGAACAATTATTGTATTATACCGATGAAATATGAATGGTGTCACATGGGTACCACGTGCCATATAACTGCAAAAGCTGTCGATATCACGTACTATACTAGTCATGTAATAATAATAATAATTCTCCCTAATTCACCCTTACGAGTGAATTTTAACCCCAAAAGCTGAGCTTGTGCGGGGAAAGAGGCGGCTATTATTATTATTTGCCGTGGCGCTCCCGGATGACTTAAAGATTTGATTTATAGGTGAGGAAAACCCGGAAAACTTCACCCACCATCATGTATGCATGTTCATTGCGAAAATGTATTCTTCCAGTGACATATAAATATTATTACATTGACAAAATGAATATTTAAATGGGGTATTATTATAAAGTTCGCCAAATTGACTGTAGTTGGCAGGTCGAACGTAAGTGACGTTAATTTTCTATATAAGCTAAAGTGAAATAAAGTTATTTTTTTATTTTTGAAAAGAATAAAGAATCAAAGTAATGTGAAAAATAGCAAAGCAAGATTCACTTCGTTCCAGGTTGTAAAACGGGATATAAATCAGATGTAAAACCAAAGAAAATACAAGGAGAAATCAATTCAAAGTCTTTTTAAAGCTCCTGTATAGTTTAAGTAAAATAATGTTACTATAATATAAAATATTACAGTCATAAATCCTGATTTACAAACAATAATAATTACACGTTAAATTTAACTTACTAGAAAAGAAAATTTTGTTTTTTCACAGTTTTAATGTTGTAGATGAAAAGTTACTACTGTTATTTTTTGTTGAACCCCAATTTTTACATTTTAAATGTTTTTTATAGGATCCTAAACATTCCTAGTGCTAAAAAAGCACTTTCTAAAGATGTTTGCGAACTACATTTTTTAGAAGATATTTCAAATAATAATAGTTTACTATTATTTAAATTGACTAAACGTTTTTCCTTTTGTTTTACCATTATAAAAACACTTTGCAAGGAATTTAAAAACGTTTGGAACATTTAATTTGTTTATTGTCGCTACTGTCCCCTATATTTGTATCTTCATCGAGGGTTTAAAGCAGGTAGATAATCCCTACTTATTATTTTTCTCTTTTAGAAGCAAAGACATTTCGTTTGTTTATGAAAAAGTAGTTCTTTGTCAATCTTGAGATTGACAATTTTTCTTTAAGTTTTCCAAATGAGTCTAAAATCATGTTTTACGTTATCAATTTTTTGTTCAAAATTTTGTAGGTAGGTATATTAAAAAAATATTGTTACAAATATTCAATCGGTTAGGTACTCACCATCAATTTCGTACGTCCTCCATCCGTACGCCACGTTCAGCTCCTTCTTTCCGTCGAACAAACCGAAATTGATTTTACCGTCGCTCTCCAGCGGATTTTTGATCCTTTTCGCTCGAGCCTCGACCCAGTGCTTGGTGCCCAAACTGGCCACCAACAGACCCATAGAGATGCAAGCGACGAAAAACGTTAAGAATACCATTCCTCGTTTGAAATAATTCATTTTAGATCATTTTCGATGCCCCTCGTATACTGAATAGTCGGTTTTTATATAAAAAAATGTGTTTTTAATTGGTAGAACGATGTCCAGGGGAGACCAACGAACCTTAAATCCTGGGACGGTTTATCGTTTTCTGCTTTATCTAGAGGTTATCGGTTAATTAGGGTTTTGTTTCGAGGTTTTTTTTTTACTGAAAATCAAAATTAAGAGTCATTAGTATTATTATTATGCTCTCAAAAGTAGAAGGTCATAAAAGAAGAATATAAAAGAAATTATACAGACAGCACAACAATAGTACTATCTAAAATATATCGACGATATTATGGAGCGAAATGCTTTAGATATATACAGTGTGTAATAGCCAAATGGAATAAATTCAGTAACTCAAATCGCTGTCCCAGTTCAAAACTGTAACATCTGAAAAATTTTAGGGTTTGAGAAGGGTAAGACCTATTACAATAATTCAACACTAAAATATCTCTATTTATTTTAATAATAAATTACAAAAAAGGTAAAAAATATCTCTATTTATTTTAATAATAAATTACAAAAAAGGTAAAAAAATTTAAAGTAATTTATCTCAAAATGCCTGATATGGAGATGTTACACTTTTGAACTAGGACAGCGAATTACTGCGCATTGTCTTCAGCGATTCCCTTTTTAGCATATTTTTTTGAATAAAAGGCTCAAAAATCGTAAGAATTTTCATCTCGGGGGGAGGGAGGGGGCATGGCCTCCATAGTCCCCCTGGAGCCGCCCTTGCGTTGGATAACATTGTTATTTGACATTTCCATCAATTGCTCAAAAAAATGGTTTCTTTTATCAAAATCGTCTTCTATGAGCTCCTGAGGGATACATTTTATTTTCTTTTATTATTCGAGTAATTGATGTATGGCTTACTAACCAGTAGCGTAGCCAGCCATTTTTCAAGGAAGGGGTTTTTGAGAACTATTGTGGGGTTTCATCAAGAAAGTGAATAAAAAAAACAGTCAATAGCGATCAGCGCCAATACTATAGTGGAAATGGTGACGCAAGGACCTCCCATGGGGGGGTTCCGACACCCCCCGTGGCTACGCCACTGTAACTATAGCGAAAGTAAAAGTTGGAAAGGCTTTTGGTAGGTAGAGAGGGGGTAAACGTCAAACCACATCGGATGGCTTCGAGAATTTCGCAGTAATGTTTACCAGCCAGTGTCGTTTCATAGAATAAGTAATTTTAAATTGTTATCGGCGGAACCGGACAATCGCATGCATTTATAGACTATAAATAATTATTAAACATGTATTATAATATTCAAATCATAATTTTACAAACTTTCAACAGCTATTCACAATTTATTAAACTATTTACTCGAAATTGTTATTAACATCTATAAAATAATTTTGTACGCCAATGTATCGCGTCCACTTCGGTGAGATTCGCCGCAAACCTGTCAATTTATGTGTATAAAGTGGGAGAACTGGCAAAAGCCTTTCCAACTTTTACTTCAGTTCTAACACCATCTAATATTGTGGTAGGGGTGACATTTTCACGTTATAATTTAAAATTGACGTGTTTCGAGAGTTTTTATGAATATGCACAATTAAACAATTCGAATCAAAAACCTATGTACTTCACAAAAGATTAGCTAGTAAAAATTCACTGCACAGTTTTGCCAGCTGAAACTTATTTTAAAATGCAACCCCTGCACTGATACGGTAGATATATGACTGGCACATGTTGAGATGTGATACTTATTATTCGAAAGTCATAGACACAACGCATTTATAGAGAATCTGGCAAATTGGCATTAGCACGTGTTCATCTTATTGTCCATTTTCTGTAACATGTTTGCATCGTATCGTTAGGGTTGCGTTTTACTTTTTGTTAGAAATTCTTTGTGATTTAATTACTAAGTGTATGAATAAATTAAATTGAAATGAAAAATTTGTTAAATGAATGGGGCCTCAGCATGGGCGAAGTTATGTCATCAGATCTGGGGGGGCTAAAGCCCTAGCCCTAGTCATATAATATATAATAGTTCTAGAGGTATACTGAAGTTAGGTAAAAAAATTCTGGCGAATCTATGAAAATGAATAAAATAACATATATAAGTGAAAAAACTGAATAATTTTCATCACAAAAATTTCCCTAATTTTCGCAACAAAAGTAGATATGGACAATCCACTCGAGTTGTACAGTATATTTTTTCTACGAACCACTAACGAAAATCTACAAATTTAAAAAATTATTTTAGGTTTAAACAAAATAAGCAATTTTAAAATAATTTATGAATTTTATTAATTTATAAAATAAAAAACATAAAGAAAATTAGCCCCTAGTCCAGATTCGAACCCAGGCTATTCGCGTGGAAGGCAAATGCTCTCTCTGTCCTCAGCTCCACCGCCACTTTTAGGTTTTTAATTTTAATACTCGTAATTAAGTTAGTTTCATACAATTTGATTAAAATTTACTTTTTTTAAATGTGGCCTAAATAAAATTAAAATGCTATTTTTTATCGATTCTAAACAAAAATAACTACTTTTAACGTATATGTTATCTTAATGACTAAAAAATATACTGTCAGTTTGTCAGAATTTAAAATTTTAAAAATATTAGTAGTTGGATGTCCAAAATATGAACTGTGATTTGTGGATTTCATTATTTTGCAGTTTTCTCGCTATGTTATGTTATGTTATGTTGGGAATGGGGTGTTAATACACTGCGACCTAAAATATCTATTGTGCCCCCTTCTGTCGCTAATGCAGCAAGGAAATGTCTCAATGCCTATAACGACCCTTTCAATTATATCTTCTCAAGGAAGTGTAGGATTTGGAGTGGTTTCAAGTTTCTATTTGATATGCTCCTAGGTATAGTGCCCTTGGATTCTGGCGTTCTACACATTCAGTTAGAATGTAAATGAAGGTTTCGTCCTTCTCCTCACAGAATCTTCACTCACTATTTTCTACTAAGTACTCTCAGTTTACTAAGGTGTCCTTTTAGTTGGCAATGCCCAGTTACAAGTGTTCTCAGTACTAGAAAAATGTATATTATGATGACAGCTTAAAATACAATCTGGCTAATGTGGAACACCCCGAAAGCCTTGCCGGACGTCTAATGGTCGTCAGGCGCGCTAAATTCTGCACGTTCGATTACTATTCCTCTCCTCGTTTAACTACCTGGCTTGTCAGGTCCGATCGAAATACGGTTTTATAACCGAAACCGAACCCCAATTTCAGCTCCTTTCTTAGTTTCGGTCGAAACCGAAACAGAAATAAGAACTTTCTTTTAAGGCAATCTCTTATTGAAATTTGTAATATCTTATTGTAATCCTTGTTTAAGACTAATTAACTCGTATTATAAATTTTAGCTACATTTACTTATTACCTATTTATTTATGTGATCAAGAAGCCATTAATAAGTTTATTAACATTGTTTTTTTTATTACTTTTGAAACTAAAAAAAAAAATAAGTTAATTACAAAGTAGCAATCATTCCTGCATCTGTCCCTAGATTTTTTGTAACAAAAAATAATATTATGAAGGGAATTATATATAATGTAATTTTTATTAAAAAAAAAACAAATTCAGATAATTAAATATGTTTGTTACTTATAATTAAATTAATATTCATAAGTAAACAGTCTAACGTTGTAGGCTAGAAATAATATTTTTTCCACGTTTCACCTCAAAAATTGCTCCTTCGATCCGAATAAATTAGGCCAGGAGCACTATGAAGACTGTTCACTTGAAACAAAGCAGAGAAGTACGTGCACTGTGTAGGAATGGCACCCGGCACAGTCGCCATTGTGCCGGACACAACCAAGTGTGATACGAAAAACGAAAACGAAAGTAGTTTCGTAGTTGGCTGCAGTTTCGGCCAGTTTTCCGCCGAAACCGAAACTGTAGTCGAGACTCTTATTTTAAGCCGAAGTTGGCCACAACCGTAACCGAACCTTCGGTCGGACACTACTTGTGAGTCTGGCAGGCCTTCGTGATTGTAATTGTCAGCCAGACGTATATTTTCACTTAGAATACCACTAGTGCCTAAATTATTTCCGAAATTTTTTTCGAACTTATGAATATTTTGAAATTTATCCTGAGTCCAAGACGATGGATATTTTTCTTAAAATATGCGTGAGTGAGCAAAAATTTACTGATAATAATTTAGGCGCTAGTGGTAGGTATTGGGTAAGAAAATTTTACATCAAAATATCCAAATTTCAAAACTTGACAGACATGCATTAAAACGACTAAAATCAAATTTTTAAAGCTGGCCATAGAATAGCATATAAAACATGCATAAAAGAGCTTCTCAACTGTCAAAACAATTTTCAGTATAATTTCGTTCAGGGTACCCACCAAAAGGAAAATTTCCGGAAATTTTTCATGGAAGCGTTTTAAAATAACGGTATTTGATCTGCTATAAAATAGAGCTGTAAAATTATAATATAATCTATTACGTGACAAATTTTCAAACCCGGGAAAATAAAAGCAAAAATATTATATTTTTTCGATTTTGAAGATGTTACCAGACTCATTTGCCAATTTCGTAAATCAGCCAGACTTATTATTATTAACAGTTCATGATTGTATCAATTTATATGCTAAATTTTCTGCTACACTCACTTTACACTATCTGAGATATTCCAAACTGCTATTTTTATAAACTTTATGTTCTAGTTTAGTAAATGTAAAATATTTATGACTGGGAAAATAAGTGTCAGACTCAAAATGTTTGTTTTTTGTCACTAAGAGAACAGTTTATTTTCATATACACCGATTGGAAAAATGAGTACGAGTAAAATTCACTGCCTCCTGAACTAAATGTAAAATTTCAGAATCAATCAAAAGGCACGATTTTTTTTTTATTTATTAATTTCTGTTCTGAAATCTGAAATGTGTGGATGGATGTGCGATAAATGTTTGAATTATTTTTGGGGGGCTAATTTGGTTTTTGGGCCTCAGCGACCTGATACCAATATTTAAATGTAAGTATATTTAGTTCACTTTTTGTTAGGTATTATTATATATAAGTAAATTTATAATCATAAGAACACGAAACAAGCTGGATAGAAGTAAAAAAAGGAATGATGCTGGATAATGACTTTTTGGAAAGACGACT